ATATTATAGCCAGTTTATTTAAAAATAATTTATTCTAACTAATTTTTTCAGATTTGTCTGCGTAATAAAATTTTTACTTATTTTGTTTTATTGCATACAAGTATATTTATAAGATGTATTATCAAGTCTTAACAATGCTACAAACCAGTATTTTAGTCCATTTGAATTAGTAAAAAAGCTCTTTTTTTGTTTTATGATGAGCAATTGAAACAACCTCTGTTCTTGTTTTTAGGCATTGACTGGGAAAATATTTTGACATGCGAGGCCCCCTATATCCCAGAAGTCAGTAGTCCAACAGATACCTCCAACTTTGACGTAGATGATGACTGTCTAAAGAACTCGGTAAAGTGTTTGTTAAAGGACCTCTTTGTCTTTAATAGATCTCATTGTTATATTGAAGGAAATTTTGTAACTGATTAATTGAAAATTAGATCCAGTATTTTATTTTATACTTTCTGATCATTTCAGCCTTTAAGTTAAAACAGAATAAGAGCTGGTGTGTCTTATCATGTGTTCTTTCTTTTGTCTAAACATAATGAGTTACGTTCTGACGTCTGACGTAAAAGGTAATACCTCCAGGGATGTAACCAGTAAGATACACTATAAGCTCAATTCATTATTATAGTAGAAAGGAGTTGTCAGTGTGTTGCAGAGTGTCTGCTCAGAGCAGAGCTCTCGTCTGTTTATTTTGATTCAGCCCAAGGTCTTAAGGCCTGTGTGCTGTACCGTGAACCTGACTGGAGTCAGAACAGTGAGAATAAGGTTTTAAGAAGAAATCCAGCAGATTCCTGTTTATTCGGACATACCAGTTTGAACAATGCACATTTTTCRTACAATTTCTTAGCTCGGTCCTTTTAAAGTGGTTGTGTTCCCCAACATGTCATCGTAGAACCTGTTCTTAAAGTGGAACTTACCACCCCATGAAAGGATAACTCGGCCCCTTGACACATTTGAAAAATGCCTACAAAGTGGGTAGTGCCGGGAGACTTTGAGGGGCACGGCCTAAAGTGAGGAGGGGTGAGCGAGGAGGCGTGGCAAGGAAGAGACAAAGTTTATTTATTTATTTATGTATTTATTTATGTATTTATTTATTTATTAAGACGAGACAACGTGACAGCTAGCTTTAGCTTACTTTGACAAGCTAACATTCCTGAAAACATTTCTGAATGTTCTAAATGAATGACTTTGTAAAGAGTAAAGTTTCATGATATTCATGCAAACTCACATTTAGCTGTTACAGCATAAACACTAATAAAATATGACTTTGGTCAATCCACCTCGGACAGAAGCATCAATCCACCCCGAYCAGCAGAGGTGTCTGGGTGGCCTGACGTGAAAAACCCCTCCGCTGCGGAGGCTCTATTTTAACCGGGCCTCTGGTTCTCCTGTAGCGTGAGGCGTCAGACATAAAACAAAACGAATTAACTATTCTTTGTGGCTAAATACATTTTTTAAAACAAAGTTGCTGTGTCACGTAGAGTTTTGATCAGGAATAAAAAAAAAAAACAACTATGGCCATCCGAATCCAACTGGACATAGGCTGTTTTAATTACCGTTTGATGTGATCCCYTTTTAATTTAATCCTCACAGCTTTAAAATGTTCCTAAGTTTATAAAAACCTCAGCATTTTTAGTCTTTGTGTGGACACTGGATGTTCTGACATGGAGCAGAGCAGCGAGTGTCCGGTTCGATCCATGTCCGGTGACAGCAGGCGGACCACGGCAGCAGGATCTGGAGCTGTCACTGTCCGGTTCTGTAACTTCTGTTCGGTCCGGTCCATACCAGGAGCTGCTTGAAAAATTGGCAGGAGCAGTTTGAAGAGCCGATCACGGACATTCACCTCTTTTCTTTTTCAATTACTGCTCCGCAGTAAGTTTCTCTCCTCCTGCTGTCTGCGGGTGTCCGCTCCGTCGACACACACTTGTTCTCGTTTACCTATAGTTACAGGACGTACGGCGGGGTGAGCCGCTGAGCTTCAACGCTACAACTTTTATTCTTTCCTGAACACAGTAAGGCTGTGGCAATGATCTCTAATGATAAAAAAATAATGATAATAATAATAATAATAGCTGTGGAGGCGTGTGTGTGGACACGTTTTTCCTACATCGTGGGGACAGTGTGTGTCTGTGTGCGAAGGTGTGTATGTATTTTGGCCCGATCACAACTGCGTGATACAGCAATCTTGTATTTTGTTTTAAAAAAAATATTGAAGCACAAAGAGGATGTATAAGTTAATTCAGTTTGTTTTATGTCTTCATGTCTTCATGTTTTCTCTGTGGGTGAGGAGAAGGCAGCTTCTACCACAGCTACGGTCAACAATGCTATGGCTAACTCCCGAATCTCTGCAGGCCGTGTCTCTACAGAGAGGCTTTTATACTGAACACTGTGCTTTGTGACGTCACACAGTACCAGCAGCATCATATGGTACTCTTTGAATGAATAACGAAATTCAAATGTAGTAGTTAAACCCAAAGGGAGCAGCACAGAGACGTTTTTAGACCCAATATTGAATACTTAAACGATTTTAGACCAAAATGTTGAATTTTAGTCATAAATAAAAAGGTATTACCTTTAGGGCACAGTTTAAAAAGAATTAGACTAAACAGCTTCTTTCTATTTTTGAACAAAACACCTTTATGAAAGAAATTTCGGTCTGGTTCATGAAAAATTTATTTGAATAAAAACATGTTACTGCAGCCATTTATTAATTTATAGCTTCTGTCTCTGGGCAGTTTATAGCTCTGTAGAATTGTTGAACCTTTCTTTAGCCACTGACACGACGGATCACAGCATCTTAATAAACAGGTTACATAATCGATTGAGAATGTTCTAAAGTGGTTCACATCTTACCTTTCTGACAGGAGCCTCAGTGTTTTTCTTTTTAACCAGTTCATGTCAGATGGCAAATATGTGTCATGTGGGGTACCAAAGGTTCTGTTTTMGAACCAATTCTATACTTGGAAATGATTCCAGTTTCAATGTCTCGTAGGTCAATTATGATTTAATTTTAAAATTTTAATAAACTTCAGGACTCTTGCATGGCCAAGAATTGTGTTACATATCTGAGAAAAGTGCTATATAAACCTTTACTTTGCTCYCACGTCTTTATTACATGTTATGTGTTTTTGTTAGGGTTGGGCAATATTGGCAAAAAAATTAATCACGATTAATTGCGGTATTTAGCCGAAACCGATTAATTTGACGATTAATGCCCTGAATCCCTGGACACCCTTATTTCGTAGTAACATGACCAATTTAGTGGGAAAGATTTGCTTTTTGTAAAAAATTGTTCCAAAGTGTGTGAAAATTACAGATTTCAGGCTATASATCATATTTTAAATTGTGTAGATAGATAAATAAATTACAGAACTTTATTTTAATGTTCGTCATATTTGAAGCGGAGAGGAGCACTGAGCAGACTGACCAGAGTAATCCCCAGTCAGTCTGCCTGCTCGGTGGCGTTAATTGTATTAATTGTCAAGTGCCAAAAAATAATTGATTAATGTTTTTCTGACGATTAATTGCACACGATACGATTATGCCCAACCCTAGTTTTTGTTCTGTTTTCTGTTGCACTGTAAATGCAATTCCCTTGTCTTAATGTTTAATTATTTCAGGAGACCATGCCCCCTCCTTCTCACACAGCCTTCTCTGGTCACCACCTGCCATTTGTGGGTTTCACCTATACAAGTAAATGGTAAGTGTTACCATGGAAGCAGGTGGATTTAAACTTGGCAGTGGTTGACACAGCTAATCAGAATGTTAGCTTCACTAACCTCTAAACCACTAGAAAAATTACTTTGCTCCGCAACTGCTAAGACTCTACACAGACAAAAGAATTGGCAAATTGTTAAACCACTAATCTTTAACATATAAACAATCCACCATGTACCAATAAGGACAATTTGCTGCACCAGCACTCTGGTTTTCTCTGTGACCACGCCTCTCTGTCTCTCACTTTCTATCTACACATCGTGGCTCACACGTTTTACTCATGGGATAAGTTTTAAAGTTCAACAACCTCCATGTTTTCAAATTACATATACAGCAAAATATGATAGAGACATAAATAAAACCCTGGTATGTCTTACTGAAATTCTTTAAAAAATGTTAGTGTTTTAAATTTGTTTCTTGTGAATTTTCAAGCTGCTGCTCTAAAAAAGCAGAGACTTAAGCATATATATGGGCAGTGATATCAGGTGAATCTTGCCCTAAAGGTAGACAGATACAAACCCCAAAACCAGAAAAGTTGGCACGTTGTGTAAATCGTAAATAAAAACAAAATAKAATGACTTGCAAATCTTTTTCAACCCATATCCAGCTGAATAGAATGCAAAGACAATATATTAAATGTTCGAACGGAGAAACTTTATTTTGTTTTGCAAATAACCATTAACTTAGAATTTAATGG